GTCGGGGCGGAAAAATGGCCGCGGACCACCTGTCAGGGGCGGAAAATGGCTGCGGACCACGTGTCAGGGGCGGAAAAATGGCCGTGGACCGTGTCACGGGAGGGAAAATGGCCACATATCCTGTTCGCACCCCGAGGCGGAGTTCGCAAACTGAGGTAAATTTTTGCGGCCAGAGCTGGTTGTAACCCGAAAAGTTCGTTAACAGAGATGTTCGTAACCCGAGGTTCCACTGTACTATCTTATAATGTCACCCACTTCTAATAGCTAGCAAGATCTTGCCAAGAAAGTTCAATCTGATTATATTTTTATTTACTTTTGTCTTATTCTACTTTTAACCATATTTTATCTTATTAATGCTATTTTACTAATTTTATTCTGCTGTTTCTCTAGTCTGGTCAATTACTGAAATAGTATTTTGATTTTGACAACAGTGAGTAAGTCAACTGGTAGTGACTCTGAATCCACATGTACTGTGCTAAGTGGAAGTATCATCTTACACAAAGTATGAGTAAAAAAAGTGTGAATAGGAAATATAACCATGAATATCTGAAGATGAATATTATTAGACTTGAAATCCATTTATCGCTAGCCTCAGGAAATAGTATTTTGATTTTGACAACAGTGAGTAAGTCAACTGGTAGTGACTCTGAATCCACATGTACTGTGCTAAGTGGAAGTATCATCTTACACAAAGTATGAGTAAAAAAAGTGTGAATAGGAAATATAACCATGAATATCTGAAGATGAATATTATTAGACTTGAAATCCATTTATCGCTAGCCTCAGTACCACTTAAGAACATTCTTGACTAGCAAGTTTGTGCTAAGAGTCACTATTATTATGGCCTAGGGTAAATAAAGGAATTCAAGAGGTAACTAAATACTTACATTTTTCATACAAAATTTAATTAAAAATAACCTTTAAAAATGCAGGGGATGGAAAGATTTACCCAAGTGCAACTATAATTATTAATCCAGTTGGTGAAAAATCTGAACCCCCATGCTTTTAAAGATGAAAACACAGAGAGGAAGTGTTGATTTAATTGTCTGATTCCTACATTTTTCAAATGTTTACTTAGTGTTACACAACTGCCAAAAGTGACATCTAGATTAGAGGCGGATAACAAAAATGCTCTGCAGACGTTGTTGAATTTCAACTCCTAGCATTCTTAGCCATGCTGGCTGAGTCATGGCTTAGCAATGTCTGAAGAGTCATAGGTCTGCCCACTCCTCTCTAGACAGAAGGAAACATTGGCCACATGGGATGACAGCAAAAGCCAATCCTTCAAATACTATCTGAACCATGACTATACCAATCACTGACACAAGCACTATGCTACATATTACTCAAGGTGATCTGATGTGTTATAAAACAACAACATAAGTGGTATATCCCAAGTCAAAAGCATCTGAAATCAATTATGCAATTTAAAAGGCTGTTTATATAAATGTTGTGCAACTTGAATAGTTTGTTCCAGCTGCAATGTTTGCAAGCTGGCAACATTCAGAAATTTGGCACAGAAAAGGAATGACAGAAAGGAAAACTGAATCATTGTCGAGAAAGAATATGAGATGTAGATATGAAAACTGTATCTTCCAAAGAAAGATGAGATATTTTTTCAAGGGCATTTTCTGGCCCTGAGCCTTAGGCAGATACTGCTCTAAGGTTTACAAGTATCAATATGATTTAAAGGGGAAAAAAGAACAAGCGAAACCAAGTATCAGCCTTCAAGCCTCTACATGATATATTTGAATCTATTGGTCTCAGCCCAGTTGCTAAATAGTAGAGGAACTGCCAAGATGATTTTACTGTTGTTGAGATGTTTTCACTATTGGCACAATTCAATTTCTTCCACAGCCAACTTGCATTCCTTGCCTTCCTTAGGCAACAATGGAATTTACTTCCACTATAGCTCTACAAGAACAGGTTTCTAAAATATACTTACTGCTTATAATTCACATTACAACCTTCATTTTATTTACAATTCCATGGACCTCAATAGCCTGTTCTATGGATGATTTTGGAGAAAAGAACTATGTACAATACAATATCAAATAAATAAAAAGCAGAATCATTTATTTTGAAAAAAAGGATATTTGATAGACTATATAAAAACAGGCAATTTTTAGGCTCTCCCCTTCGGCAAATTTGTTTGATAGACACTATCAACTATCTCCCCATCAAAAAATAAGTTTTGCTGGATGCATTGATTGCCCTTGACAATGACTCTCAAGTTGTATTTAAGAATAGTAGTTTGTCTCAGGTAAACATCAACAGCTGATCCAGGGATATAACAGTAGTGTGTGCCTCTCATCTTATTGCCAGTTATGGAAACAGGATGCCAACTAATTGATTTTTGTGCCTGATCTGGCTCCATGAAATAATATTTCCACTTACTTTACACATTTACACTTTACACGCAGCCAATTCATTAGGGTTTAAAAACTCTACAGTTGCTATTTTCTTCTTTTTCTGTCCAAACCCCTTCCAGAATTGAGGCAAAGTTATAAAAATAAAATGTTATTGAATCAATCAGAATTCAGATGTAGACAAAAAGTGAGTTTGCCTTGTTTTTCCCCAAATGCAGTTTTTTCTCTTCGGCTATTTTGACTAGTAGCAGTTTCAAACAAAGGGCCCCAAGGCCTTATTCAAAGGCTATTTGAATAGCAGCACAAGCTTTTACCAAGTCAATTTAACTGGTCAGAAGTGCTCTTAAGTATTCTACACTTTGATGCTCGATATGAAAGGCAATTTTTCTCCTTAGCAAATTATTTGTCATTCCTGAAATGAAACCTCAGCCATTCCATCCTTTTAAAAAATAAAAAGCAGGCTCATATATTACAATTTTAAAACAAAAGAGCAATGTGTCTGTGTGTGTGTAATGAGAGCAAAGGCTCTTTAACTATTTCTATTCAATCACCTTTTCCAGCTATAATCCTTCCTACAGAGTTTCAGATGGAAAATATAGGTCTGTCCCTAGTTAAAACATTTGAAAGTTATTGATTTAAGGTAACTTTTTGCACAAGGACTAAATTACAGCCCCTGTACAGTACATAGGATTTGAAGGTTCAGTATGTCCCAAGTCTCTTGATGTCAGTCTGTGAACTGAAAACCTATTCCAGCAAATGGAACACTGGCCTTGATGTAGAGCATCAAGTTAGGCAACTCAATGGCCACACATGGCCCACAAGCTACTATAGGTCTCCTAGAGAACCCAGTCCTCCAACCTCTCTGAATTTAATACAAAACTCTATTCTACTGCCTATTCAGCACAGTTTACCACACTGCATTCTAATTAGCAATGTAAGTGAACTTGTGGAACAGTTACTCATTTAGAATGCCTTAAAAGACAA